GGGGCTCGATCCCACAAACAACGTGATCGTGACCTGAGCCGAAATCAAGAGTGGGACGCTTAACCCAACGGAGCCACCCAGGCGCCCCTTTTTTACATAAAATGAATAATGCTATACATATTGTTCTGTACTTGGTTTTGTTTTGTTTTGTTATTTATTTAAACAGTCCCTTATCGGAGTCCCTGGGTGACTCAGTGGGTTAAGCGTCCGACTCTGGATTTCGGCTCAAGTCATGATCTCATGGTCATGAGATTGAACCCCGAGTTGGGCTCTGCTCTGACAGTGAAGAGCCTGGGCATTCGCTGTCTCCCTCTCTCTCTGCCCCACCCCTGCTTGCACTTTCTCTCTCTCAAAATAAATGAATTAATTTAAAAAAATAAAAAAGATAAACCGCCCCTTATTGATATGCATTTGGATTGTTTCCAAATGTTATTTAATTTAAGAAAAGGGAAACTGGTGGTGGTTTTCTGGCTCAGGCAGCTTGCTTTTATTTTTGGTTAAATCAGTTAACTTCAGTGATTCCAGAACTGCTTTTTTTCTTATACTGAGGGTATGAGAAAAATTTCAAGGATATAATGTACAAACTGCAAAAGCAGAAATTCAATGTCAATATTTGGGAAAGAATCTCATAAGAGATAGTTTTATGTTATGTACCTTATAGTAGTGTGATGGTGTTTATTCAACAGGTAATACACAAATCATCCTGTGGTTCATTTCTAGTAGTTGTTTCATATAGCCCATACAACAGTATGGCAGACTGTGGACAGTTTTTATCTTTGAATTAAAGAGCTAGCTGATGTTACATCTCACATTTGGTTTTCCTTTCATTTAGGCAAGTTCTTCCTGAGATTCAGACAACACAAAATTCAGCAAATGAACAAGAAAGTACAGGTACGTGGGTAGGTAACAGGTTAGAATTAGAATTCCAAAGCCAAACGTACTATAAAAATTGCCTACGTTATCTACTAGCTTTCTAAATTAAAAAATCTTAAGCTCCAAAGAAGTTAAGTGATTGGCCAGAGGTGTAGACTAAACCTCAGAGCGTCTGTCTCCTGGTCCAGTGCCCTTCTACTACATATTCTATGATCAGCTGTCAAGTAGTCTTCTGTTCCACTTGCTCTACAGCAGTGTGATTTTACTAGCTAGCGATTACCTGACTTTATCCCTCAGTGGTCACCGAAGAAAGCCGTATATCTGGTCACAACCCCAGATGCATCTCCATAGCACTTTCCATCATCTGTGCTAATGAATTGGGTCAGTAAAGAACCGGTCACTTCAAGATTAGTAAGATCTGGGTATAAAGCTTTGCCCGTTTTCATCGAGGGAACTTCTCAAAAGAGAGGCAGCTAGAGAAAATGCTCAAGTGTAACATGTGGGATGTGATCCCATTCTGCTGATTGGCTGATTTCTCAGGAGAACTGATACACCTCCTTCTGCAAGAAGGCGGGGGTGTGGGGGGGTTGGTGGCAGGCTTTGGAGCCATATGGGTTGAAATCTCATCTTATATGAACTTGGGCTACTTACTCTCTGCCTCGGGTTTCTTGCCTTTGAAGCGTACATTATAATAACACTTCCCTCACTGGATTGCCGTGAGGTTTCTCTGAGTTAATACACAGGAAGTTCCTAGAAGAATGCCTCGATGCCTAGTGCTTCATTCATATCCATCATTATTAGTTTTTAGCTTTGACCCTACTGGGGGCAGTTGCTTATTGAAAAACTATCAAATTGTCATACCAGGAAGTCATACCACAGAGACAGCATGACTTCAGGTAAAAAAAAAAAAAAAAAAAAAAAAAAAAAAAAAAAAAAAAAAAAAAAAAAAATCCGTTTCTGTCACTCTCCAGCTATGACCCACGGCTTTGAGCCTCAGATTTTGTTATCTGTAAATGGGAGTGATCCTACCAACCATGGAATGTTGTTAGGCTTGGAGATAACGTATCAGTGCTCAGTAAGTGTTTGTTTGCTAATGCAACCACTTTGGCCCCTATCTGTTTTCTCCCTGTAGAACCTAAAACAGTGGAAGAAGAAGAAAGCAATTTCAGCTCTCCACTGATGCTTTGGCTCCAGCAAGAACAGAAAAGAAAGGAAAGCATTGCTGAGAAAAAGCCCAAGAAAGGACTTGTTTTTGAAATTTCAAGTGATGATGGCTTTCAGATCTGTGCGGAAAGTATCGAAGGTGAGTGGATTAAATGAGGTCGGGGGGCACCTGGCTGGCTGCTTTGTGGAGCATGTGACTCTTGATCTCGGGGTTGTGAGCTCGAATCCCACGTTGGGTGTAGAGATTACTTTAAAAAATAAAAATAGAAAAACAGGTTGTCTCGCTAGCTCAGGCCCTGACTCAGCCAGATCTGCCCTTACGTACATTAATTAGTACCATTGATGTGGGTAGTTTTGTGCGAGGTGTTATGGAAGATACTCGAAGGCATTATATACATCTAACTTGTCCTTAAGTTCCTGGAGAGATATAATCCATAACTTAGCTGAGCACATGAGACCTCTTCTCTCTCCAGCCTTGTCTTCTGTGATTTCTTTGTGTACCTTAACTGCCATTCTGTCTCACCCCTGTGCCTTCTCCGTTTCTTCCCTCTTCCTGGAATGTTCTTTCTACCCTGGTATACCTGGTGAACTCTAGCTTGTCCTTCAGGGTTCTGCTTGGAAAGTCTTCCCTGACTTTCTGAGGCAGATAAGCACTCCCACTCCTTCCTTTCTGCTCCTTTTGGAATCTTAAATGCTTCTCGGTATAGCTTCGACTTTGTTTTGTAAATGTCTGTTTGCTTTTACAGTTTACTCAACAGGGAACTTCCTAGAAGGGCTGGCATTTTATTTTCTTGTTCGTTAGCTGTTGAAGAACTAGTGAACTTTCTCTAGGCAAGAAGTACTAGAGGAGTTGGAAGGAAAGAGCGATCCCTGTGGGTCAGTTAGGGTTATTGAACCCAGGAAAAATGGTGGAATAGAAGATCCCATTAAAAGAGGTAATAGGATTTGAGTTAGGAAAAGACAAATGGGAAAGGCTTTCTAAAAAGAGACACACGCACAGTTAGACAGGATTGCATGTGGTGGGTTTAGAGCATCCTCACGTGGGAGAGGACCTCGAAATCCTTATCGGGTAGTAGTGAGATAGAAAACTGCGAAGGTTAATTGGGCACAAGTTTTGGAGGGCGTTCAGTGCCAAACCATGAGGCCTTTGGAAATCTGGAAAAGTGAAATAAAAGCAGAATTTCAAGAAGCGTAAGGTCGACTCAGTTAGAGACATGGACGTGGCAGGAGGTCGCCGATGAGAGCATAGCTACAGTAGAGATGTCCGGTAATAAAGCCCGTTCCCAGCAGGCAGAGAGAGGAAAGAAGGATGGACATACTTCATGACTGCTTGGATACGGAGAGCAGAGAGAGAAGGTGACTGAAGATTCAGGCCTGGGTCACTAAAAATAAAAAATAAATAAATAAATACAAAGATACGTAAGGAGAACAAAAAAGCTACGTTGAGTGTGTGAGTGCCACATACAACACATTGAGCATGATGTGCTGGTGACAAGTCCAACAGACAGTAGGATATCATAGAATCTTAAGTTGGAGCTGGAAGGGACTGAAAAGGTTTTCTCGTCATACCTCGTAGTTTTGAGGAACAGAGGTAAAGATCTCCCCAGAGTCTGGGTTAAATCATTAACGCTAATACTGTTTTGTTCAGGGGCATTGGGAATAGAAGTAACACCATACATTCAGGTTTGGGACCCGGACTACCATCAAGGGATGTGAACGCTTTGGGGATTCAGGGGTCATTTACAGAAGGTGTGAACCTCCTTTCTAACAGGAGGAAGCACTGCTGGGTAGTGCCCCTGCCCAGCCTCTTAGCACGGAAAACATTAAAACTAAGAAAACAAAAAAACCATTTTAGAAGGGTGTTTTCACCCTGTAGGGATTCTAAGCTCAACGTTTGTGCATGCCATTGGTGTTGGAAGTAGTTGACCAAATATTTCATTTCTGCACAGATGCCTGGAAGTCACTGACAGATAAAGTCCAGGAAGCTCGATCAAATGCCCGCCTAAAGCAGCTCTCATTTGCAGGTAACGGCCGCAGTGGTCATTTTATTCTGAATACTCTGTCTCAGAGTATTCTGGTAGCTTGTTGGTCTAAAACTGTAGAGTTGATTCTACAAAAATGTCAAACTTTTAAAAAAAGAAAATGGAATTCTTATAGTATACAGCACACCCATTTAAAGCATACAGCTCACGGCACCTGGGTGGCTCAGTCGGTTAAGCATCCGACGTCAGCTCAGGTCATGATCTTGTGATTTGTGAGTTTGGGCCCCTCATCAGGCTCTGTGCTGACATCTCAGAGCCTGGATCCTGCTTCGGATTCTGTGTCCCCGTCTCTCTCTGCCCCTCCCCCGCTCACACTTTGTCTCTCTCTCTCCCAAAAATAAACATTAAAAAATAATAATAATAGAGCATACGGTTCAATGGCTTTTAGTGTATTCACAGAGTTGTGCAACCATCACTACGGTGTAATTCCAGAATGTTTTCATCATCCCTTCAAGAAACTCCATACTCATTAGCAGTCACTCCTCAGCTCCAACACCCACCACCATTGATCTACTTTCTGTCTCTAGGTATTTGTATGGAATCATACAATTATATGGCCTTTTATGACTGGATTCTTTGATTTATTTATTTAATGTTTATTTACTTTTGAGAGAGAGACAGAGTGCAAGCAGGGGAGGGGCAGAGAGAGGAGACACAGAACCCAAAGCAGGCTCCAGGCTCCGAGCTGTCAGCACTGAGACCGATGCAGGGCTTGAACTCAGAAACCATAAGATCGTGATCTGAGTCGAAATCGGACGCTCGACCAACTGAGCCACCCAGACGCCTCTGGATTCTTTGATTTAACATAGTGCTTTCAAGCTTTCTCTCTGCTGTAATGTTGCATCAGTACTTTATTGTATTCTTTTTCTTTTTTTTTATGCTTATTTTTGAGAGACCACGCACGTGTACACAAGTGAGCGGGGGAGGGGCAGAGAGAGAGAGGGACAGAGGATCTGAAGCACGCTCCACGCTGGCAACAAGCCCAATACAGGGCTTGAACTCAGGAACCACAAGATGGTGACCTGAGCCAAAGTTGGATGCTTAACCGACCGAGCCACCCAGGAGCTCCATTGTTTTCTTTTTTTTTTTTTTTAAACAGATGAATTTTTTTATTGAGGTAAAATTCACATAACATAAATTTATCAACTTAACCTTATTTTTTTCCAGAGTAACCCATTTTTAAGTGTACAATTCACTGGTGTTAAATGTATTCACGTTGTGTAACCATCCATCCATCCCATAACTTTTCTTCTTGTGAAACTGAAACTCCCCTTTCCCCATTGTCTCCCGCCCCCGGCAACCACCATTCTCCTTTCTGTCTGTATGGGTTTTGATTATTTTCAGTACCACTTGTAAATGGAATTATACGATAAGTGGACTGGCTCATCTCACTTAGCACTATGCCCTCAAGATTCATCCATGCTGTAGCAGAGTGCAAAGTTTCCTTCCTTTTTAAGGCTGAATAATATTTCACTGTATTTATACGTCACCGTTTGCTGATTGCCTCGCCCATCCACGGATACTTGTTGCTTCCACATTTTAGCCATTGTGAATCGTTCTGCTGTGAATGTGGGTGTATAGATATCTATTCAAGACCCTACTGTCCCGGGCCCCTGCGGGGCTCAGTCAGTTAAGCGTCCAACTCTTGGTTTTGGCTCAGGTCATGATCCCAGGGTCGTGGGATTGAGCCCTGCATCAGGCTCCCCTCTGGTTGTGGAGTCTGCTCAAGATTCTCTCTCTCTCCTCTCTCTGCCCCTCTCCCCTGCTCTCAAAAAAATCAATAAATAAATGAAATAGTTCCTATTAAAAAAAAAAAAAAAAAAGACCTTGCTTTCCATTTCCGGGAGGCATATACCCAGAAGTTGAATTGCTGGATCATTGCTTTTTGTTTTTTTTTAATGGTAATTCCATTTTTAATTTTTTAAGGAACCACCATACTAGTTTCCCCAGTGGCTGCACCATTTTACATGCCCACCAGCAGTGCCCGAGGGTTCCAATTTCTTCACCTCCTCTTTTTTTTGATAGAAGCCAGCTAAAGCGATGTGAAATGGTATCTCATTATAGTTTCGATTTACATTTCCCTAATGATTCGTGATGTTGAGCATCTTTACATGGGCTTATTGGCTATTTGTAGGTCTTCTTTGGAAAAAATGAAGGCTTCTGTTTAAGGCCTTTGCTTGTTTCTTAATCAGGCTTTGTTGTTGTTGTTGTTTTTAATGTTTATTTATTTTTGAGAGAGAGAGGGAGACGGACAGAGTGTGAGAGGGAGAGAGGCAGAGAGAGAGGGAGACACAGAATTTGAAGTAGGCTCCAGGCTCTGAGCTGTCAGCACAGAGCTCGAACTCACAAACTGCATGATCATGACCTGAGCTAAAGTCAGACTCCCAACCGACTGAGCCACCCAGGTGCCCCTGTTGTTATTATTGTTGTTATGGTTGAGTTTTAAAAGTTGTCTCTACATTCTAGATATTAATCAGACAGATGATTTATAATATACATATCTACGTATAGAGATAGAGATAGATTAGATATAGATATATTTGTGAGGGAGATATTTGGGGGCAAATATGTCTCTACAGTGTAGATATTAATGAGAGGGATAATTTACTATATATATATTTAGATTTGTGAGGGAGATATTTGGGGGGCAAGAAAATATGATTTGTTGGTCCCGTGCCCAACTGCGGTGGTCATTGGGTGAACTGTAGTTAAATTTGTACTTTGCCTCTCCCAGTAGTCATTTTGAACTGATTACTTATAATATGTATAAAATCCTACTCCTGGAGTAAGCCAGCATTCTGAACTTTGTTCGCAGCCTCAAACTGAGTAGCCAGCCCTTTGTTCTGGCCAAAAGGACAGAATTTCCTTTGATTTATCCATGTCGTTTACTGCCACATGGAATGGTGGTAAGAAACCATGTACTTTGGAGGGAGAAAAAACTGAGTACAAGCCACATTTCTGCCCTTTTGCTATCAACATTCCACTGAGTGCAAGCTAATTGACTTCTCTGAGTCTCAATATCCTTATCTAAAAGGGAATATTGGGACACCTGGGTGGCTCACTTAGTTGAGAGTTCGACTTTGGCTCAGGTCATGATCGCGAGTTCCTGAGTTCAAGCCCCACATAGGGCTGTCTGCTGTGAGTGCTTCAGATCCTCTGCCTTCCCTCTCCCTGCCTCTCCCCCACTCATGCTCGCTCTCTCTCTCTTAAAAATAGATAAAAACATGAAAGAAAAATAAAAAGGAGGGGTGCTTGGGTGGCTCAGTCAGTTAAGCGTCCCAACTTCGGCTCAGTTCATGATCTTGTAGTTCTTGAGTTCAAGCCCCATGTTGGGCTCTGTGCTGACAGCTTGGAGCCTGGAGCCTGCTTTGGATTCTGTGTCTCCCTGTCTTTCTCTGCCCCTCCCCCTCTCGCACTCTTTTTCTTTCTTTCTCTCAAAAATAAACATTAAAAAATTTTTAAAAAAAGAAAAAGGAATTTTAATGTGACCTTCAAAATTTATAGTGAGGATTAATTAACGTGTTGTGTCAACTATACTCAAATAAAACATTTTTTTTAAAAAGGGACCTGACATTATTGACTACTTATATGTATGTAGATAAATACGGTTATTTATATGTATACAAGTAATGTTATTTATTTATATATCTTAATTTACCTAATATGCCAAATAAAGACCATTATCCTTACGGAAAAGATTTGAGACAATTCAGAGAAATCATCGAAGACTAGCTTTGGGGGGGAGGTAATAGTATATTTTCATATATGGTATGAAGTGAGGGTCAACTGCATTCTATTGCATGTGGATACCTGGTTTTCCGAGCATCACTTGTTGAAAAGACTGTCTTTTCCCCCCATTAAATGGTCTTGGCACCGTGGTCAAAACTCATGTGACCAGGGGCTCCTGGCTGGCTCAGTCAGGGGAACATGTGACTCTTGATCTCGGAGTTGTGAGTTTGAGCCCCGTGTTGGGTGTGCACATTACTTAAAAATAAAATCTTTTAAAAAAAAAGGCATGTGACCAGGTATGCAGCAGTTTATTACTAGACTCAGCTCTATTCCATTAGTCTGTATGTCTGTCTTTATGCCAGTACCACACTGTTTTGATTAATTACTGTACATCTGTGGTAAACTTTGAAAGCAGGAAATTTGGAGTTCTCCGGTTTTGTTCTTTCTCAGGATTATTTTGGCTACTCAGGATCCCCTCAGATTCCGTATGAATTTTAAGATGAGCTTTTCTATTTTTGCAAAAAAATGTTATTGGGATGTTGATGGAAATTGCACTGAATCTGTAGATCACTTTGGTAGTATTGACATTTTAACAGTGTTAAGTCTTCTAACCCGTGAACACGAGATATGTTTCCTTTTATTTAGGTCTTCAATTTCTTTTAGCAGTGTTTTGTAGTTTTCATTGTATAAGTCTTTTACCTCCTTGATTAAGTTAGTTTGTAAGTCCTTTTTTCTTTGTGATGCTATCGTAAATAGAATCGTTTTGTAATTGCCTTTTCAGATTGTTCGTGGTTTGTGTATAGAAATTCAACTGATTTTTGTGTGTTGACTTTATCCTATTACTTTGATGAATTCACTTATTTTAACAAGTGTTTTGTGGTATCATTAGAGTTTTCTACATATAAGATCATATCCTCTGCAAACAGAGATAATCTTACTTCTTCCTTTCCAATTTAGGTGACTTTTATTTCTTTTTTTTACTTAATAGAAGTGGTGAAAGTAGGCATCCTTGCTTCATTCATGACCTTGGAGGGAAAGCTTTCAATCTTTCACTATTGGATATAGTATTCTCTGTGGGTTGGTCAGTACGTGGCTTTTATTAGTACTTCATTCCTTTATATTGCCAAATAATACTCCATTTTGTGGATATACCATATGTCGTTTATCCATTCATCAACTCATGGACATTGGGTGTTTTTCCACCTTCTGAACCCCTGAACCGTAAGATCATGAGCCAAGCGGAAATCAGTTTCAGACGCTTAACTGACTGAGCCACCAACGTGCACCCTGTATAGACATGTTTTTA